TTCCCCAATCATAGCTAATATGGAAAAAACAATCAATGAACCGAAAACACTACCATTCTTTCATATAAGCATTTTTCCCAAAGGAAGCATTTTATCATGATGATTGAAAAGGGATTTCAAAGGTTATTTTATCAAAGCTAAATTTGCACTCGATATATCTATATCTCATTATTACCCCATCATTAGGAAATTAAAAGTTGCAACCAAACAACAATGATTACCTGGTGAAATAGCAGAACTAATTTGCTTTGATGCAGAGTATAAATGCTTCACAAAGGGCATTCTCTTTATAAACCACTCCCCTAACCAGAAAACTGTTGAACCCAGCCATGATGAAGCAAAAATGCCGACAAAGAATATGAAGGTTATCGATGTGACAAATCCAAGGCCTGTAAGTACAAGGGAATCACTTATAAATTTACCAGCTACACAGGCTTTTATTGAAGACACAGCTCATGATGATGCTAATAATTTTACCAGAAATATCACAACTACCAACATGATCAATGCATCAATGATTACTACAGCAAGCAAAATGGGAAATAAAATCCTGCAATGCCAAAAGTGACGTACCAAATATGTCAATACCAAGTCTTTCATATATGGGGCTGAAGAAACCATCAACAAATTGAATAAACCACCATGTGATGAAAAATGTAACAGCCACAGGAAAGAGGACCACACTGTGAATAGGCAATATCCACCAAAAATTAGTATGTAGAGATTCACATAAGATTAAGGAAGTAGGCATCCAATGAATGGAGATACTGATAGAAAGTATGGACGGAGGATCATGCATGGCACTTCTCGGTCCTGTCTCCAAGTGACATGACACTGAGAAAGCAAGAGTATCCCACAAGCCAATAAAAGTACATTTTCTTTTCTTAAGTAGTTGATAAGGAAAAATCAAAGACTAGGGATTTTGATAAGCTCCCCACCATCCAGTCATGAACTTCTTTGACACCCAACTTTGAAGAACAGCATAGCAAGCCTGATCAAATAAATGTCAGAATTAGTATGATCAATATGTAGATATGGAAATTGAGTTTTTGCACAGTGGAAGAAATAGAAAGGAACAAACATGGTATTTGTTCACAAAACCTCAGATGTTAGTGAATAAATATTTACATTTTACAGGTACATTTCCAGCAAGAACTATTACTTCTTTTTTTTGGATAACCAGCAAGAATTATTACTTTTAGAATTCTAAATCACAATTCTTCAACACTTCTCTTTGTGATGCCAAGCCAATTTCCTTGCTTAACAGCTCTCTTAGTTATCATTTGCTAGAAGATCTAAACAAAGAATATCTCAGTAATTGTGTGTAGTTGTCAAACCAATTAGTTCAACTCTCTCTTGTGATACCTTATCCAATGAAAAAAAGGAACAATAATAACCTTTTCAATGAAAAATGATCAGTAGTTTTAGTTATGAAGAGCTGGCATGAAATTGAAACAAAAATACTTTTGGTCAAACTTTGGAGGTCTATAAAGTTGCAGAATATAATACTAGAGATTTTGTTGAGTAAGCCACACTAACCCGTCAATTTGGGATCCAAATTCGAGATTTTCCTTGGAATGGAATAAGCTCTATCGAACTAGTGTTCTTTTCATTGACAGGAAATTAGTTGATTACAGTACCAAAGAACTTCTTTTTCTTCATAAGACTAACTTTTATTAACTGAGCAGCAACAAAAAGATAATGCTGGAGGAGTTACAGCCAAAAGAGGGAGGCCATTAGAAGTCGTGTATTGAGCTACAGATATCAATAATGACACCACTATCATTTGATTAAAGTACCAGCAATTTTGACAGTCAAAAACTTGTTATCTTTGAAATTTCCAAGCAATATCCTCCTACTAACTTTGATTTACTGGCTCCTGGATTCATTTGTTTAGTAATTTTGTGTGGATGAACTTTCAAAATCAATCAACTATGCCTCAATTCCAAATCAACCTGAGTTAGCTATATAAGTCCTCTATATCCCTTCCTCTCTAGTGAAGTTCATTTTGTTGATAACTAACTTAAGAGTTCTCTATTCTCACACAGCCACTCTTATCTTTGCAGGTATAATTAGTTTAATTCCAACTAACTGGTTGCTTAGCTTCCACTATATTCTGTTCTTCGCTAAATTGCTTGATCCAAGACTTCCAAGACAATTGAGAAAAACTTCCTTCAATCTGATTTTTGGTCTACCTGGTCCACCAAGATTGGACTTTTGATATTCCCCCAAATTTAAAAAGTCATTCGACAGCTACAAGTCCAAGAAAATAGCCAAAAGAACCTGTAACAAAACCAAGGGTGTGGTGCGTACACTACGTGATTTCAAATTTTTCCGTGTTCGATTGGTCAAAGTTTTTGAAAAACATTTTTCTATAAGAATACAAGTTCCTTAAAAAATGAGGAAAATGACTTCACTGGTGGAAGTAGGAAAAACAAGTTCCACAAGTGGCATTTCACATTGATTATGTCCTCCTTCCACCTCATGTTCACCCCCACACTTGTAGCCCCCATCCCCGCCACTCCACAGCCCTACCCCTACCCCTACCCCCTACACCTCTCATACTATTTGTATCAATTACATACAAATAATTTTAGGATAATATTTCTTACTTACGTACCACACAAAAGATAAGTAACAACCCACTTATTTTCCCATAAAACATTTTCCTTCGTACCAAACATACAACAATTCTGAATTTTCATCATTGATATATCTATAGCTTAGTCGTTAAAACCCATAATTTAGTTCTCATGATTTCAACTCTCAGCTTAAATCATATAAAATAGCTTCTTTTTCTCCCACTGCCTTTAAGTTAGTGAACATCCTCATCCAACACCACTAGACACCCCGCCAGCCATAGTTCACTAACATAATAAGAAAATAACCCTACCACTCCAAACTTTCCTACGATTTTATTTAGCTTAACCAAATGAAAAAGGCGGCCAAAAATATTGAGATTCATATTATTATTTTTTAAATGATCGCATTTCACCAAGTAAATCTCAGTCTACATTTAAAAAATTCCTGTCAAGTGGCCTTCAAATAACATTACATTAAATGTACGTATTTTCCTCATTTATCACTAAGAATTTCCATGGCAACCACGCGAGATTTGAGAGTCGATCAATATTAACCTTTTATTCAAATCGACCTACAATATAGTACTGTTTAGAGCAAGTCCGATCTGTTACTGGTGAAATTATACTGTACGTCACAGGTATAACTTTATACAAATTAGAGTATTTTATTTTATTTATTTATTTGGGAGGAGGAACGAACCTTGCGAGTAGAGGAATTTGGGGAAGAAGGAGGAGATTTGACGAAATCTTCGGGATCTTCATGGAGGCTTTCGTTTCGAAGCGGCGAACTTGACGTTGACTCTTTCTTATCGTCCGCCATTTTCAAAGTAAAAAAAAGGAGAGAATGAGAGATTTTTTCTCAAATATTGGGGTTTGTTGCAAATTTATTGCTTTTACAGGGTGGTGCCGGGGATACTTAAAAAATAAAATTATAAATTATAAAAATCGCCATTTATAATCGTCAAGAGTAGTTTATTAGAGTTATATATGTGTTGTGAACAAATTTATGTATATTTTATGCATTCATGATTTAATTATTTATTCGTATATTTATTATGCCTAACATAGTGGTGAAGTAAGAATTTTTATTAAAAAAAGGGATCAAAATATAAAGTAAATTAACAAAAAATTTCAAGGAGTGTCAATTTTCTGACGAAGGGGTGTCCCCTCAACAACATGTGGCTCCGCAACTGCCTAACATTTAATTAACTGCAATAGTTTTATGTACAATTATGTTCATTGATACAAATCAGTCATATTAATTGTATTCGTGATAAAATTTGATACAACAACTACAATATGCATTTAACGTCTATCTCACCTCACTCCCAGAGGCAGACCCACCTTTATCAGTGGGGATGCATGTGCACCCATTAACTTCGAAAAAAATCACGTGTCCTGATATAATTAACAGTGCACCATGAGAAGTATATGAGTATTCTTGTGTTGTTGGTACAAGGCAGATAAGTCGCCCGAGAGATCAGGGTTCAAATCTAGATAGAACGCTATTTCATTATTTTTATTTTTATGTTTAGCTTAGAGATCATTTTTAGTGCACCCGAAGTCTTCAAATCTTGGTTCGCTGCACACTCCCTTATCTCTTAGATCTCACTTGTCTCTCTCCTCCCTTTTCAGACTCATTCGCCTCTCTCTTTCCCAAACATGTAGCTATAAATTGTAATTAAACAAATTATAGCCACATCTCTAACTAAGGGAAACTTACATAAATATACTATAAATAAAAAATATTTATCATTTATAGCAATAACATTTTTTTTTCACTTGATCACTTTTATTACATTTATAATACATTTTAAATTCATATTACAAAGAGCAATTTATTATTCACATATAATACAAGATTTATTGATGGATAATACATTTTATCACACATTTTAATACACTTATAATATATTTTTTAAAAACAGTTATAATACATATATATTGCATACTTAATTCACTTTTAATACATATTGCAGACATAGTATTGCTATAAATGGTACTATAAATAAAAAGTTTCGCTAAAATCAATAATTATTTATTAAAAAGCACCCATCCAAGTAATTTTTCCTCTAACTAAACCCAAATTATACTCTCTTTCCCCAAACATGTAGCTGTAAATCATAATTAAACAAACTATAGCTATAAGTCTCTAATTAAACCTAAATTATTATAGTTATTTTTTAAAGTTCCTCTTTTTAAAAATATTTTTTTGAGTATCTAGGGTAGCTTTTTGTGTTGCATATTTTAAATTTTAGTGCAACTATTTTTAATGTTTATAATATTTTTATTTTTATAGCGTCCATCAAATTTAATATGAAAAATATTTTGTCAGAAATTAAAAGGGTTAGCTTTTGACAAATTTAAGAAACCAAAACTGTGAAGGCGCATAATCAAGGGACCAATTTTACCGACTGATGGTAAACTTTAAGAATCAAAACTATCAACTGCATACTTATCTTGAAATACTTCAAACATAGGGGGACCATTTTTGCCATTTTCTCCATAAAATTACAGGGGGAAGGGGAACAGGATCTGCACAGAAACTTGAAACTTCACGCCACCACGACTGTAATCTCGCCACCGATGCCGCCGTGAACCACCAGTTCTTCGCCGGCAAATCATTTCCTCTCCACCTCTGTTTTAACCCACTTCATCACCACCATTTTCGCAACCTGAAACCACCCTGCCATCTCCGCTGAAACACCCAAAACAGCTGCTAAACCCACCACTTGATTCCACCCCCTCACGGACCTGAATTATACGGAAACTACCGTTCCTTCCCATCTCTGCTGTGGAAGCTCCATTGAGATCAGCCGAAAAGAATCCTAATGACCCCCACGCTCTTCCCATTTTTGCAATTCCGGTGTTGTCTTCTACATCGTTAACTTTCCGGGTTTGGGTTGCAGGTTGCGGTTCAATTCTGCCGGCAAGGATTTTCGGTCTGTTTTCAGTTGTTCCGGGCTTGTTGGTCCAAATTCGGAATCTGAAGGATTGTTCTAATTGGAGGTCCATTCTCACTCTCTTTCTCAATTTTTTTTCTTTTACTCTTGTTTCATCTGATAATTAATGATGGTACTTTGCTTAAATGTTCATTTTAGCTTGTGTGTGCTTATAAGTATATCATTTTCCGATTGGAATCTGGTTTCATGCGTATTTGTGAATTGATTTTGATTGGAATTTTATGTTAGTTAATCATGAAAGGATAACAAGTGAACTAGAATTTGGATTTGGTAAAAGAGCATGGATGAACCTTGGCTTGATTATCACTGGTGAAATAGGAATGAATCAAAGGAATTGGGCTTGAGATAGGATCAACTGCTGTTATTTCAGTCGTTTGGGCTGGTAGTGGCATGATTAGGCGGTCAATGTAATAGGAAAAATCTTAGACTTGTTTGGTTGATTATGTGTTTACTACTTTCAAGAATAATTACCTATTTTCCTGAATATCAAGGAGAATACCCCGAGATGTCGAGTGAAGCTTAATTTAGGATAGTATAGGTAGTGTAGGTTTACTATCAGTACTCTTTTTTATTTTGGACTGTAATAACTTTGGACACTGTTTTACACACTGTGCATGTGATTGTTATTCAGTGAGTTTGTCCAATTGAGTTTCATTTGAGTCAATACGAGTCAATGAAGTAACCATACTAGAACAACGGGATCGAGGGGTGCCTCGTACCTTTTCCTTGGTCAACAGTATTCCTTAGCAGGAATCGCTGTCGCAAATTGGTTTTGGAGCCAACTGTATTTTTTTTAAAGGGATTTCTGTTTTAAACGGTGACTTGGCACACCAGATTTCGATGCCAACTCCATTTTTATGAATCCATTTGAAAAATTCAATCTTTTTTCACTTTCAATCTTGAAAATCCTTTTATCTTTTAACTACAAATATTTGGTGGAAAAAAGGGGTGTGTAATATCTCCAAGTATTGGTATGAATTGATACTTACTAATATGATTTTCTTGTAGATTTGTGAGCGGGAGGAAGGATATCTTAGGTTTTCTGCTGGGATATACCATACTGCATCATTTGATTGGGAGAAATCTTCTTATTTTTCTCCTGGAATTTGAAGGAATGTCAAAAGTTAGAGACAGAACGGAAGATTTTAAAGATGTTGCACATCGATCAGCATTGTCTTTGGGATATAATGAGGTACATTAACTTATTCAGTTCATCACTTTTCTCTATCCTTTGTCGAAAGGATTATGTAGCATGCTGTGAAATGTCTTGAAGAATCTTCATGCTCATATGACCCCTACAGTCCTTTGTCTATTACATTGAGTGTGATTGTGCATATAGCTTCAATAATTTCCTTATGTATCAATTGTTCATATTGTCCTGGATTAACTGCTCGGTTTTATAATTAAACTGATCAAGAGTTTTGTGGTTGCAAATATCTGGCAATTTTGTTTTTCATCGCAGATGATTTATAACTCTCTTGTTAGCTGAGAACTATTCCATATAATTAAACTTCAACACTCTCTTTCCCGCTCCTTATTTTTAGCCTATGTCATATTACCATCAGATCTTAGTTTATATGTCCTCTGAACTTAGATCTTTGCTGACAGTCTAAGACTGCTGCCTTATTGGCATCTTTTATCATGCATAAACCTCGGCAAAGGTCAGGATTCACCAGAGCTGCACTTAAAACGGTATAATTGTCTACAACTAATGCTTATTTTCTTTTGTTATGTTGTTTGTGCTTTAGATTTTGTATCCTTAAGTTCATAAATAATCACAAACCAAAAATCCTTTCCATAATTTTTCATTTGTCAGCTAGAGAGTATTGGGACTCTGGAACAATTTTTGATGAAACACAAGAAGGATTATGTTGATCTGCACCGTACAACTGAACAAGAGAGGGATAGCATTGAGCATGAAGTAAGCTTGCATATTTTGATATCGGTTTTCTTTCTTTCCTTGCTGTACCTTTTTTCATTTTTTCTTTTTGTGGATTTCAGAACAGGTCAGTTATAGCTAGACTATCTTCTTCTTGCTTCTATGGTTGCTGTACATAGAAATTTTTATTCTTGGTGCATGATGCTCTCTTATCATGATGAAAACAAAAGGAGTGTTTCAGTTTGCAAATAGGATTAGGCCATATCACAAGGGTGAGGTTGGAGTTGCGATTACATATTTGAGAGTTGAGATAGTTTTACTGTTTTGCCTCTATTAGGTGGTGATTTGCAATTTTTAAATTTAGGAAAATATCAATCATCTTTCAATTTTAAACTAGTTGGGACGTCTATACGAATCTTTTATATCTATTCCGATATCCCGCTATATTTGGATCCATTTTATTTTAATACTTAAAAGAAGTATCCTTTCAAGGCAAATTATCGTCCATATGGTTCCTTCTCTTCCATTGCATTATATGCTAACCTCATGATTCTAAGTGTACTACTTACCTTTTAGAACTTTTAATCACCAGAGTATCACATCTTTGAAGTAGTGCTTTCAGAGGTTTATATAGGACATGCCCTAATCATCTCAGATAATGTTCTCTTAGGTTATCTTCTATGTATTCTACTTACTCTTTCTAAAAATAGAAGAGAAAAGTCATATAAAGTTATATACAAATCACTACCCCTTTTTTTGCATTTCCTAATAGAGTCATTCAGTAATTTTCACAACAATCGGAATTTGACCTCATGTGCCTTTGCTACTTGCTCTTTCTATCTGATGTGTTAAATTATAATCTTATCTAATTGTGTATGGCGTGCATCAATCTTAACATCTATATTCATACAACACTCATCTTGTGGACATATTGGCTTTTGGACCCAACAAATACTCCAATATAATGTTATTGGTTTCAATTTGTTCTATAGCACTTACCTTTCTCTTTGTTAATTATCACCTGTATAGACCTCTTGTAGCATTCCTCTATTTCAACCATCAATTTTTTCTTTTATGTGATAAATTTTCATCTACACGTCAATTTTTAGAAAACTGGGTCTGTATATCTGAATTGTATGCATTTGGGTACCACAGTTGTGTCCAATCTCACTTCACATGCATTTTTCTTATGGGGGCTAATATTGCAGTGCTTGATTTCTCTAAGAATTATTCAAATCAGTCAATTGGTATGAGAGACAATCTTATGAGAAGAGGCGTTTTTTTCCTTAGTTTTAGGTATGGGTCTAGTAAAAGAGTAAATTTAATATAATAACACTCAAAGAAAGATTTTTTCTGTTTTTGGTCTGGTTGTCAGGGATGACCAAGGGTAGTGGATTGGGAAAGTGAGTCCTGATCTGCAGATCCCGTTTCATGGAATCATTATCCCAAACTCCTTCTCCTAGACCTTGAATAAGTGTTCTGTAGCTCATTGCTGCTTTAGGGTTAGCCCACATTTGTAATTTTTAAAACCATGAGAGAACTGGGTGAATGATGGAATAAATTAGTCCTGATATACATCTTGAACATTTTTCTGAAGATCGATCTTGTATATATTAAATGATCTTGTTTTTTTTAATTATTATTTTCAGTTTTCATATAGCTTAACTAATATTTAATATTGTATAAAACAATATTAAGTTCAATCCATGCAATAATGTAAATCCTGGGAAATTACTAAGAATATTATGGATGAAAGCCAATAGAAATTAATTGGTGGTTACAGTACTCTTAACTCCAAGTTTGACTATAAACTATGACCTACGGAATTGGCACTTCTGCACCAAGGTGCTGTGTTTGATTTATTTTCCTTCTGTTTGCTATAATCCTTTTTTTATGAAAAGCTTAAAACTACGTCTTTGTTTAATTACCTTTGAAATGTTGGATAAAGAAAAGTTACTTAATTTACATCTTCCAAGTAAGCATTTCCATTTACCAATTAAAGAGCACTCTTTGGGACAACTATACAATGTTGTATCAGATTCCCTCCTCTGCCTAACATTTTATGTATGACATGTCCCAAAGCTATCTAGAAATAAGAAGTTAAAAAAGTCATTAATTCTGCTTCTATAAGAAGCATTTGCATTTTAAAAATGATATTTTTTTTTTGAGAAGGCAAGCATTTGCATTTTAAAAATGATATTAACTGATAACCCTCAGGGGTTGGCCTGCTGGCAATTGACTTGAGCCTTGGGGTTTGCTCCCTTTCAAGGTCTCAAGTTCGAAACCCACTGGGTGCAAACAATTTCTGAGGGCCATCGGACTGGGTAAAACCTGAATTAACCGTGGTGCACTTGCGGGAAACTCCTTGCCGAGGGCCTGTGCACCCCCGGGATTAGTCGGGGCTCAAAGAGACTCGGACACCCGGTGCAAATCAAAAAAAAAAATGTTGGATAAAATTGCGTCTTGTTTTCCTTCTTTGTCAAGTTTGATGTCCTTATTAACTTTTGAGTCTGGAGAAAGAGATCCTTGTCCACCTTTGTGGTTGACTTCTTCTTGTGCAGCTTTGTTTTGAATGCTAATGCACTTAATTGAGATTGTAAAGTTAGAGTTAAAAAAACTTACTAACACAACTTTCTGCAGGTTACAATTTTTGTAAAATCATGCAAAGAGCAGATAGATGTTCTCAGAAATAGTATAAACGAGGAAGATGCAAATTCAAAGGGATGGCTTGGTTTGAAGGGTGACAATCTGAATGCTGATACTATAGCACACAAGCATGGAGTGGTATGGTTGCTACTTGCAATATAGTGATCAAATATTCTCAGAATTTGATTAGGACTGCTTCCTGATACATCTCTTCCCACTTTCCGCTAGTATTTGGAGTTTTTGAAGTAACTTTATTGATACTGTTGAATTAAAGATATTTTAGTGCAATTTTCTACAATCAGCAGAACACTGTCGTAATTGTCATATCATAGTTATTTTGTCTCCAATTTTCTGCTGGGGTTTCATACTTTCTATGAATAACCTCTTTTGAAATAGAGAAATTATGTAAATATCTCTGATGTTAGCAGCATTACTTCAAAATTGTTGTCTTCATTATGATTCAATTTGGAAAGTATCCATGTTCCTATTTAAATTTGGATCTCTTACCACCACAAATTTTCTTTCCCGGAATTTTGCTTCTTAGAAAGTGGATGTGTTGTGTGGTTGTTCTGTGATTTGCATAACATATCACTGAGTCGTATTGCCATACTCCTGCAACTGCATATGGAGTAATAGAAGTCACTAGATCGTTGTGATTGTTAATACCTGTTGATGACGTAAATATAGTTTTTCAACCTAAGCTATGGTCTGTAATCAGATGAAAGTAGGTCTCTTCTGTTTCTTTTATTTGTTTTCAAATTGCCTCTTGCGTACGCTAAGAGTGAGGCTGAGGATGTAAAAGGAAAAAAAAAAGATCTTTTGGAATAGAGTGCCAAGGCATTTGAAAGCATATTTCTTCTGGTTTATCATGAGATCCACAGTAGGTGAAAATCCTTTAGTAGTATACACCTAATGGTGCACTGCTGTGCTTTTCATTCTTGGAGTGTGGATGCATACCCATATTCATTGTTTGCTTTTATACTGCAGGTTTTAATTTTAAGTGAAAAGCTTCACTCTGTCACATCACAGTTTGACCAATTGCGGGCAATACGGTTTCAAGATGCTATTAACCGAGTGACACCAAGAAGGAAACGTAAGAACACTACCAAATCAAATGCTGCAGAGACCTCTGCTTCTAGTAGTTTGGACCCCAACATGAAAAGGGACTTCGAGGGTCTCGGGGACCCCGATACACAAGCAGCACCTATAAGAGTCCAAGAACAACTTTTGGACGATGAAACACGTGCCCTACAGGTAAGTGGGAAGTTTGCTGATAGATGATTTAATTCTGGCAAACAAGCATTCTTAAAGCTAAAATCACATATACTCCGTTCCTGTAACCTACTATGATCACTCGAATGGTGCAGGTAGAGCTGAACAGTCTCCTGGATTCTGTTCAAGAAACAGAAACAAAGATGGTGGAAATGTCTGCGTTAAACCATCTTATGTCTACTCATGTTTTGCAACAGGCCCAACAGATAGAGCTTTTATATGATCAGGTTAGTGGTATTGTTGCCTTTTTACTTTCTAGTTGGATAGAGCTTTTATCTTAGTTAAACATGCCAAGAAAATCATTCTCTCACATTGTTTAACTAATTCACACAATCTCTGCATTTTCTCTATTAACTTTGCCATTTGTAACCATTTACTAGTTAGAACTAACAAACATCACAATTTACAGATCTTTTTTTATTCCATGTCTAATCTTTATACTGTTAATACTTTAATTTGTTCATTAAGCATTCTAAATCCCCTTTTGCCAACTGAGCTTAACCGTTGTCAGCAATAGACATACATGCATGATAAGAAAAGAAGAAAGAAAGATTAGAAAATAATCAAACAAAGGAATACATGTTTGTAGATGATCAACCAGGCTACATGATTCTTTGAAGTGCACTGAACAGAGCAGATTTTGTCATTATAAATTGTATCCTGGTCTATTAACAAATTATTCCTCTAGTATGGGTTTTGATAACTGTATACTTTTCAAAAGTTCTGGATGAAGTCTATGCCTTTGGTTATTACTTTCGAGTTTCAGTTGGTGTGAATTTATGGTTTTTCATTTCAGGCAGTTGAAGCTACCCAAAATGTGGAACTTGGTAACAAAGAACTGTCACAAGCCATTCAACGGAACAGCAGCAGCAGAACTTTTCTTTTGCTCTTTCTATTTGTACTTACATTTTCAATCCTCTTCCTAGATTGGTACAGTTAATTATAGGGATTTTCGCGCTATTTTTTGTTTTACAAGTAAGAGTATAGAGAGCATATATTGTACAACTAAAGTTGCGTAACTTTACTAGAAATTTGGAGGCAATTATCTGTTGTATTTGCTGCTTTATTATTTGTACTGCTATTATTGTTACTTGCCCATGCCACCAAATACCAATATTGAACTGAACTTTGATTCGACATGGCTTTGGTGTAGTTTTGAAGGGATCTTTTCAACTTGGACCTCTATAATAACATAATTTTCAAATAATATAAATTTCAATTGCATATATTATAATTCAAATAACTATGAAGTAAGATATTTTTACTTTTGAGTTTTGAGTTTACGTTGTGTGTAAAGAATTTGACCAGGCATTAAGATCTTTTGTCTACTTATAAAAAAATGAATAGAATAAGATGATTTTTTCAACTTATAAGCTTTGAATTTAACTTTGCAAATATCTACTAATAAAGTTGAAAGACTCATTGAGCCTTTTAAAATTCTTTTCAAATTTGTTTCCACATCAGAAGTTCCATTTTAATTTCATACAATAATACAAATTAAATTTTAAAAAGAACGGCCAGAGACTGTGGTCGGGTCAACCTAATCCCGGATAACTCCCTAACTGGGTAAGGGGCCTTTATCAGAAACTCCTTTCACACTCTCAACCCGCCCCTCTAAGAGTGGCTCGACTAGGTCCAGATCAATACATGGAGGGGCGGGTTGGGACTGGCCCGATCCAACCCACTTATCAGACTTAGATCGTGTACATTTTTGTGGTGATTGAAGAGTCAAAATCACACATCCATATTATGTGTATAAAATCACTCGTTGATTGTATCGGTATACTAATTGAGTATGCATTTTTACCTAATACTAATGCATTTACACATATCTAAGTAGTTAGCAAAACAATAATGATTATATTTTTGCCACTATTTCAGTATAGTGTAAGTAGTACTGCTGGTAACAAATAACCAACACTAGATGAATAAAATTGTGACTAGCTAGTGCCTGTCTTCATTTTATTCCAAAAATGGTTGTACACTTGTACTATTTTGCTTCATGAAACCAAAAATAAAATGCTTTTGGGCTTGAGATTTATCTAATATTAATGTAGTTTCTTGTTATTTGAAAATTGAAATGTAAAAACTCTAAATTGTTGTATTACGGTAATAATTGAACTTTGATATGTATACTCGAGTATAAATTTTCCTATTAGAAAAAAAATCATCTTATTTTAAAATTTAATAGAGGAGTATTTGCGATGAAACAATTAAGGGAGCTAGAGTAATGCTAACTAACATATTAAAAAGTATTTCTCCGAATTCGATGTGAACGTAAAATATTTTATGCATCAAACTACCATAAACTTTGTCTCTTACAAGTTACCATATACATAAATTTTGTAAAATTAAGTTTAAGGCATAACTCGTTATATCATATATATTATAAACATAACTTATGGTATATATTGATACACAAATATGAAACTTTCTCGAATAAAATTATTTGTAATTTCAATATCGATGATTTTTTATACCTATGTTGGAATCCTAAATTGATTATAATTAGGATTTGTTCTTTATGGTATTTACTTATTTATGTTTAATTAGTATTTGTTAGTTAGAGTGGTACCTAATCCTAGTTTAATTTATAGGGACGTTACTAGTTATTTTCAATAGGGGAAAAGGACACATATATCCCGAACTATCGTAAATGGTATACCTCTGTCATACTTTTCATTCATTAGTGCCCCTGCCGTCCAAAAAGCAATGCACATTTACCCCTCCCCAAAAAAAAAAATTAAGTTTATTTTTAAAAAATATTTTCAATTTCAATTCAAATTTTTTTTTCTACTCTCTAGTAAAAATAAAAGATATTTTCTCAAAAAATACTTTTCATTCATAAATCAAACACTAGAAAATCTTTTCCGAAAAAAATTTTCTACTTATCAACCAAACATGAGAAAATAAGTAAAAAATCTACTTATTTTCCAGAAGAAAACATTTTCCTTCCTACCAAACACACCCTAAGTGTTACGTATTTTCACTTTAATCCTTAACTACACATATTAGATTATATATTTAGTACTTCCTTCACCTTTACGTGTCCACTTAAGCATATTAAGAGGAAACTCAATCTTTTTATTTTATTTTATCCTTATCATCAACTATCAATTTCTCAAATTATTTCTTAAGATTTTTTGAAATGCTAATACATGGAATCATGGATATTATAATCAAATATACCCTTCATTTATTATTTTCTTAAAGAAAGTGCAAAATTAATCGTGAACAAATAGAAATGAATAAAAGCACTAAATTTTTTTACCATGCACTTACCTATTAACGCGTTTACCAACTAATTTTGTCATCACCAATATATTTTTACCTTACTTGCACTGAAAATGTTGCAAGTAAGAAGACTTGCACTGAAAATATTGCAATTAAAAAAGATTTATTTTAAAAGAATTGTTTTTGAAGTGTATTTAAAAAATCTTCAAATTATGTTATTAAGAAGCTAAGATGACAAGTGGAAAAATCTGTGTCAATTTGCATGAATGGTTAGTGACACATGTCCTTAATACTTTAATGTTTTAAGACATACCCTTCCTCAATAATTACAATAGCGAAGTCAGAAATTTAATAAAAAATATGTATTTTTTCTTCCTAATTATGTTAAGGTGAGCAAAATTAACTATACACTTATAATATTGAATATCTAACCTACATCCACCACGTAAGTTTTCAGGATAAGATATGCACCGGACCACCCTTTGCCTAAAATGGCTCGTCCATGTCTATAAATACTCTCACTTCTCCATTAGAAATTATGATAGAGAACACCATTCAGCCTTCTTTCACACTCACGTTTCCCTCTTTCTTTTCTTGTGATTAATGTTTATTTTAATTATCTTTTATTTCGTCCTGGAGAAATATTTTATATGGTTGAAATAGTTTTTTAGGATAGTGTCCAGCACGATTTAAGTATAAATTGTGTATTATTTAAAAATATTATAATAGTAATATTCATCTTATTTTCAGTACTACTATTTTACTAAATAAATAGTTATATTATTATTGTGATATTTTTATTATTCTCCAACAAATATAAGCATATTAAATGGCAAATAATACTAGTGCGTCAACAGTCTGTGTAACTGGAGCTGCTGGATTTATTGGTTCTTGGCTTGTCATGAGACTTCTTGAACGTGGCTATAATGTTCATGCTACTGTTCGTAATCTTGGTACACCAAATTTTCCCTTTGTGTTTGGTAATAAGAAAATTGTGGCTTATACGGTGGGCGGGGAGGAGACAATTAATTTAAAATATCGTCTATGAAACTTGTTTTTTTTAACTTTCATTAGAAAAGTCATTTTCATCAATATTCGTAAGGAACGTGTTTTTCTAGAAAAAATATTTTCCAAAATATTTTGACCAACCAAACATAGAAAAATCATAAAGTACTTCCTGAAAAATGTTTTCCTCCATTACCTAACACATCCTTTTATACTGATATTTTATAATAAATTTTGAATTGTCAATTAGTAATTAACCTTAAAAATAATTATACGTACTTGTTTATAAAAAGTGAGATTAATAACGTGAGGAAACATGCACATTAAGATACACTAATAGTGATAAGTTACTTGTACTGCAAAAAAAATAAAATAAAAAATAATAATATATAGGTTAAAATGATTTAAGTTATATATGACATGTAATTTTTTTTTAAAACTATCTTAATTAACCCATGAATTAATTGTTTGCCAATTGTAGAGAATAATAAGAAGGTGCAACATCTTTTGGAGTTACCAAAAGCTGATACAAATTTAACTCTATGGAAAGCAGACTTAAGGGAAGAAGGAAGCTTTGATGAAGGCATAAAAGGGTGTGAAGGAGTATTTCATGTGGCCACTCCTATGGACTTTGAATCCAAGGACCCCTAGGTACTGAATTTGTCTGATCATCTCATTTAAAAAGTAAAAAATATTTTTTAATTAACGAGATTAATATATATGACAGAATGAAGTAATTAAACCAACGGTGAGGGGAATATTAAGCATCATAGAATCATGTGTTAAAGCAAAAACAGTGAAGATGCTAATATTCACTTCATCTGCTGGAACTGTGGATATTCAACAACAAAAAAAACTTATCTATGATGACAACAATTGGAGTGACTTGGATTTTATATATGCTAACAAGATGACTGGATGGGTAATTTCCTTTTACGTTTTAAGTTATATACATCAATAATATAATTTACCATGTTGCTAAAGATTACCAATTAATACTATTCTTTCTTTTTATTTTATGTGATACTATTATTATTTGGAGAGTCAATTAATCTTTTTATCATATATTTTTTCGAAGTACTTTTTTAAACCCTCTTATGTTCCCCCCCCCCCCCTTTCTTTTCTACTCACCATGGAAGTTTTCATTTTTTTGCTCCTTTGTTAACTCGAACTCACAACTTTTAGATTGCATGTGAAAGGTGATTCCAACCTAAGCAACCTCCTCTTGTATTTTTTGAATTATTAACTATTCTATTGTAAAACATTTTTCTTGAGCCATCTATCAGAACAACCTCTCTATATCCATAGAGTTATAGAGTTAGCGCTGCAAAAGAAATAAAAAATAAAAATTGAAGATTCTATATTCAAATTAACACAAAAAAAATTAATCAATTTTACCCTCGTACATATAGGGGAATGGAAAGGTCCATCTGATTTAGTAACACCTGTACATACTCATCCCATTCTAGAAAAACTTTGCTCACGTGATTAGCACGTTGAGGAATATAAGTTTGTTAGATTAGTTATAGAGTAGACAACTAAAGAAAGGACATGTGGATATTGAGTTTTCTTTTATCATTAGCTTTATTCTGTGTAATACTTGTATATATACAGGTTTGGAGATGAATGAAATTATCAGAAAATTTCCCAAAGTATTTTTCTTTTCATTCTTTCATGGTATCAGAGCAGTAGCTCGATCCAATCTCTTTTCTCACAAAGTCACATTGTTCATCACTGATCTATAATACATAATGGATCAAGAGGAAGCTGGAACTCAGGTGTTGAACATATCGACTGTCTCAAAGACCACCACGATCGACATCAATCATTCATATCATCTACACTCTTCAGATTCGCCTGGAATGAATATCATCAGCTCTACCTTTGACGGGAAGGGA